GTATGGGGGCCAGGGCTGAGGGTCAGTGTGGGCTCCATGGGGGATGGATGGGGACCCAGGCTGGGGGTCAGTGTGGGCTCCATGGGGGATGGACGGGGGCCCAGGCTGGGGGTCAGTGTGGGCTCCATGGGGGCGGCACTGGGCAGTGAGGGGCTGTCCGTGGGGAGCTGTCGAGTTGTCTGTCTCATGGTGTCTCCCCCCAGTGGGGGGTCAGTGTGGGCTCCCTGGGAGCTGGACAGGGGCCCAGGCTGGGGGTCAGTGTGGGCTCCATGGGGGCGGCACTGGGCAGTGAGGGGCTGTCCGTGGGGAGCTGTCGAGTTGTCTGTCTCATGGTGTCTCCCCCCAGGTCTGCCCGAGATGAGGCTGTTTCTGGTGCTCGTCCTGCTGGGAGCCGTGGCCGGGGGCCCTCTCTGTAAGTGGAGCCCCTCCCCCGGCCCTGGAGGGGAGCCTGACCCACAGGCCACTGTCCCCAGTGGGGACCCCCTAGAGGAGGCTACTGCATGGGCCCCATGGACCGAGCATGGGCCGTACATCCCCAGACGTCTCCCTGAGCCCTGCTGGTCCCTGGGGCCCCCTGACCCCAAGCCTGGCTCTGTCCTGGCACCTGGGTCCCCATCCCCCACTGGCCCCAGCCAAGTCTGTCTCAGCCCCAGCGCACGCGGCCCAGCCCCTGATGTTTTAGCTGCTGATCCCCGCAGCCACTAGGGGGCCGTTGGGCATGTGGGGTGCCCCATGGGGCTGGAAGGGCCCATTGGCCTCTCTCTGCCCCCAGCCCAGAGGGCCCTGGAGCTGGAGAGATCGGACGAGCAGGGCAGCTCCGCTCTGGAGGAGGAGCCCGTGGGGTCGGCGCCGTGCCAGGGGGAAGAACGGGGCTTCGGGGCGAGAGGCGCAAAGCCCCCCCGTTACGAGCTGGAGAACAAGCCCCAGACGTTCGAGGAGGCCAAGGTGAGCAGAGGGCAGAGGATGGAAAAGGGGGTTGGGGACAGTGGCTGGCCCAGGGCACATGGCTGCAGTGCTGTGTGCAGGGGGTGTGGATAGTGCCAGGGGCTGGCTCACGGTGTGTAAGGGCGGGGGCTGGCATGTGGGGCTGGAGGCTGTGGGTGGGAGCTGGTGCATGGGGCAGGAGAAGCGGGGGACAGGGGCTGGCGCGTGGGGCTGGAGGCCGGGGGGTGGGAGGTCGTGCTTGGGGCTGGAGGATGGGAGAAAGGGGCCGCAGGAGAATGGGGGACAGTGGCTGGGGTGTGGTGCTGGGGGCTAAGGATGGGAGCTGCTGCATGGGACAGCGGCTGAGGGCCAGTCACTGGGTGCTCCCCACACTCTCTCCCCACAGAACACGTGCACAAAGCGCGGTGGCTGCCTGGCCTCCATCCACACCGAAGAGATCAACAGGAAGCTGTGCCAAATGTCCAAGCAGGGCCAGGTGTGGGTCGGGGGTATCAGCTCCTCCTTGGTAAGGCCCTGCTGCCCCCCTGGGGGTGGGCAATGACCCATCCCCCACAGCTCCTCCGAGCCCACAGCCGGGTCCCTGCTCCGGGCAGCCCCTGGGAGGCAGCGCTGGGGGCTCTGGCAGTTCAGGGTTTGGTCCCAGCCCTCCCCCCCCCATGCTCAGGGGCCCAATGAGCTTGGCTGTCCACGGGGTGCCTGGGGCTGGTGGGTCCTGCCCCCCCCTTGAGCCACAGCCCCAGGCTCTAGCCCTGGGCCCCCCCGGCTCTGCCGGGGGCT